ACCGTAATTTCTGGACTATAAGCTGCTACTTTTTCCACAGGCTTTGAACCCCGCAGCTTATACAATGCTGCGACTAATTTGTTGATTTATTTATTTATTTTTATTTTTTTGATGGGCTAACGAGCTTCATGCCACCAAACATTTAGCCTCATCACATCCGGGCGCTCATATAGCTGTCCAATATACGTCTCTCTTGAGGGGTGGGTCCTCGTGACTCTATTAGACTACCTGATTAAATAAAAAGGTAAAATCAAAGAAAAATGTGAGCAATGAAATAGGAAGGGGAGGAGAGAACAGGGGGTGGGGGTGCCCCTCCCTGTTTCGAAAGGCAGCTGCGTGATGGAGGACAGCACAAGCTGTTCTCCAACCTCCTGCGCAGTGAGCAGGACGAAGGTGAAAATAGCGATCGATCACTTCCTGGTAGGCTACTGTATTTGTATTTTTTTAACCAGCCGAGTTACAGTCACTGTGCAGGAAAAAAAAACATTTAATGTACGAATTTACTTTGTGCAACTTAGTTTGCCGAGACGACCCCTGAAGAAGGGAGAAGCCGAAAGAAGAGAAAAAAATAGTGTACGTATGTCAATGGTACGTATTTATTTAAAAGTTTATTTAAAAGTTTATTTATTTATTTATTTATTTATTTATTTATTTATTTATTTATTTCATTCATTTCAGTTCCATTAAAAAAACACACAAATACAATTTAGATAATTTAAAAAAATAAACATAAAATGAAAGGAAGCAGAAGAAGAAAAAAATTCTTATCAAATCTGCTCCTTCTGTAACAGATCAGTTTAACTATCAATTCAAACAAAAAGTCAATCACAATATTGCAACAACGTAGATAACTCAAACAGATTTTACATTCTCCATTTTTGCATCATCCTCCAAATTATTCCATAAACCTATTCCATGTATGGTCGTAGAGCGTCCCTTCAAACTGGTTCTGTACTTAGGTTTTACAAAGATCTCTGATCCCTTTAGATTATAACCACTCGTCCTTTTTACAAAATATGTTTGAATGTTTGATGGCAGCAAACAATTATGGGCCTTAAACATAAGTAAAAGAATATTATAATCCACCAAATCATAAAACTTAAGTAATTTCAATTGACTAAACAGAACATTAGAAGGATGACAATAACTCTTTCTTGTTATAATTCTTACTGCTCTTTTTTGCAGAATAAATATAGGCCTTGTTGTGGATTTACATGCTGTACCCCAAACATTGGCACAATAAGTAAAATGTGGGACTACAATTGTATTATAAAGTAAATGTAAAGCTTCATTATTTAACAAGTCCCTTACTCTATATAATACTGCACTGGACTTTGATATTTTAGTTTTTACAAAATTTATATGTTGTTTCCATGATAGTTTATCATCAATGATTACGCCCAGAAACTTTACTTCATTTACTCTACATATTTTAATGCCATCAATTTTGAAACAAAAATCCAAAGTTATCTTTTTTTTACTAAATACCATAAAATTAGTTTTATCAATATTCAATGATAACTTATTTGATTTAAACCAATCCTGTATTTTTACAAATTCCTTGTTTATCAACTCAATTAATTGTTCCATATCTTTACCCAGACAGAAAAAAAGTAGTGTCATCAGCAAACAAAACACATTTGAAGATATCAGATACTTCAATTAAGTCATTTACATATAATATAAACAATTTAGGTCCAAGTATTGAACCTTGTGGTACACCACATGGAGTTCTGCACAAATTAGATTTTACTTCATCTATTTGAACAAACTGTCTTCTATCTCTCAAATAACTGCTTATCCACTGCAGAGCAGGACCTCTAATACCATAATGATTCAATTTATCAAGCAGAATGGTGTGATCGATTGTGTCAAATGCTTTTTTTAAGTCCACAAATATACTTATGCAATGTTGTTTTTGATCAACCGCTGTAGTAATTTGTTCTATCAACTCCATGAGAGCCAAAGATGTTGAACAGTTTGACCTAAAACCATATTGATTATTACTTAAAATATTATTTTTCTCAAGAAATTTATCTAATCTAATCATAAACAATTTTTCAAGAATTTTAGAGAACTGTGGTAATAGAGATATAGGCCTATAATTACTAAATGTACATTTGTCACCATTTTTAAAAAGAGGAACTACCTTAGCAACCTTCATTCTATCTGGGAAAATTCCTTTTGAAAATGATAAATTACAGATGTATGTAAATGGCTCAATCACATAACTCATTATTTCCTTTACAACCACCATATCCATATTTTCACAATCCTTTGATCTTTTATCAGCAAATTTTTTGACAACTTTCATTATTTCCTCCTTATCTGTTCCACTCAAGAACATACTGTCAACACAACCATTTCTTAAATAACTTAATTTTTTTTCCACTTTAGGAATCGAAGCTGCTAGACAAGACCCAACATTTGCAAAATAATTATTAAATCCATTGACAATCTCATCATTTTCATAGATTTCCACATCGTTTTCCACAAAATGTTGTGAAAGTCCCGTTCTCTCTTTATGCTTTTTTAAAACAGTATTCATTACTCTCCATGTTGTGCGCATATCACCTTTACATTCATGCAATGATTTACTATAGTATTCCCTCTTGTGTTTCCTTATGATACTAACTAATTTGTTTTTGTATTTTTTGTATTTCTCTTCAGCCTCCTTGGTCCTTGATTTCAAAAAACACGAATACAAATGATTCTTTTTTTTACATGCATTTCTTAATCCTTTGGTCATCCATGGATAATCCACTTTGTTTTTCTTAGTGTAATTCTTTTGCATACAATGTTTATAATAGATGACCTCTAGAATTGTCATAAATTCATCATAAGATTTATTCACATCATTTATCCCATTTTTGATGTTCCAACTCAGCTTTTAATTTGTCTAATGCTTTTTTTGACGTGTTAATTTTTTTGTTTTTTCTTGTAGTTGTTTTAATTATACCATTTTCTTTCTTGTAAATAGTGAAGACTGGTAGGTGATCACTAAGATCAGTCTTCAAGATACCACTCAGCATATCACCGTCTGTTACATTTGTGAAAATATTATCAATTATAGTAGCACTTTGAGTTGTAATTCTTGTAGGATTTGATATTAATGGACAAAGATTTAGACTATACATTGAATTTATGAATATACTTATGTTGTTTGAATCAGTGATATTTCCTAGGTCAATATTGAAGTCTCCACATAGAAAATTTTTTTATTTCTACTTTTTTCTAATAACTCCAATAGTTTATCAGTGAATAGCTCAATATTTGAGGATGGCGATCGATATACACAACTTATTATGATGTTCTTTGTATTATTTTTTATTATTTCTATTGTTATCATTTCCAACATATCTTCCACCATTATTGACATTTCGCTTATCAATTTGCAAAATGTTTCGTGTAAATATCTCATGTTACAATGAGAACACCTGCTGCTTATAGACAAGCACGGCCTATATATATGTACAATTGTTGTTGTTATTGTTTTATTTAGTGGGCGTGGCTTATAGTCAGGTGCGCTCAATAGTCGGGAAATTACAGTAAAATGAAATAAATAAGTGTGTGCAATATGCTTTTATTGCACAGTGTTGATGTTCATGGACACAATGTAAATTAATAATAATAACAATAATAATAATAATAATAATAATAATAATTATTATTATTATTATTATTATTATTATTATTATTATTATTATAGTATGTGGGATTTTACTGTGAAAACTAATTTTGTAAATGAACAGATTAGCTGTATGACACTTCAGGTGAGGAACAGTGAAAGATGGTGCATCACTGTTTACCTGTATGTCTCTGGCCCTTTCTTGAGCCTGATAGGCCACCCTCTCCTCGATGCTGGCCAGCTCCTGCTTCAGGTCGGACATTTCATGTTGATGAAGTTCTGTCAGGTCGTTCAGCTGGTCCTCCAAATGCTCGTACCTGCCAGTCAACATATGGGGGAACCTTTATTTTCCAAGCACAAACAAATGTGTTTTAACAAAACCTTTGTGGATTTAGATAAAACTCTAAGCTGTGGGCTTCTTTACATCCTACGTACAACTTTGAAGGATTGTATCTGCAGATGTACCTGTATCTCTCCTCCTGTAGTGTTTGATTAATAATGTCGTACTCTCTCTTGAACTGAGCCTTCATCTCCTCGATGTCCTCCTCCAGTTGGCCTTGGGTGTCTTTGATCTCCCGCACCTCCTCATAGTAGAGGTCCAGTCTGTTCTGGCTGTCTCCCCCGACCTGCTGTCCCTGTCCTGCAGCAGCTCCTCCCACAGTGGGGTTCCCGTTGCTGTCGGCTGAAATGGAGGCGCTGCCCGACGAGCACTCGTCGTCGCTGGGATACTTGGGCTTGCCCACCAAAGAGGTGCTGCTGCTCAGCCCTTTTCCTGCGTTATCGGACGGCAGCACAGAGGAGGAGTCCATGTTGGTTTTGAGGTGAGCGATGTTATCAGCACTACCAAATTTGTTCCTGATGAGGTTGGCAAACTCTCTGGGCTTACTGAAGAAGAAAGGGGGGGAGAGAGAAACTCCCGGTCCGATGGTTTTGATTTTGTCCATGGTCGGGTGTCGACCGCTGCCGGTCATGTCCTTCAGCAGCTGTCTGGGAGACTCCCTGGGTATGGTGCTGCGTTTTACTGAGGAAGAGCGAGGAGGAGGACTGTGGAGGACTTCATTGTCTTTCATCTTTCGATGGTACTGCTCCAGCTTCTTCTGCATCTGTGCAATGTTCTGAGCGGACTTCTGGTTCTTCTTCTCAAACACCTGCTTGATGCGCCCCACCTGCTGCTTGTCTGCGCTGTTCACCAGCTTCAGATACTCGGCGACATTCTCGTCTCGAGCCGTCTGCTCAATCTTCAGCTGTTCGGTCACTTTCAGTATCTTCTGCTGGAGGTTGTCCATGCAGGAACGACTCCGCTGAACCTCCACGCCGAGAGCAGAACGGGGACTTGCATCTGTCAGGTCCAGATCCAGGTTGTTCTCTGAAGAACCCCGACGCAGAAAACTGCCCTCTGTACTCCGGTCCTGTAGAAAAGAGAATTAAAATTAAAAATCGATTCTGAAGTGTGCTTTTACAAAGAGGAAGTGAAACATTAAAAAATGTGTTTCATCAGCAAAAGCAGTCAAGAAGAGAAAAGTGGATTACACCGACATTTAATCAGCTCAGAGTCTTGGTAGACAATAGTCAGTGTTTATAACAAGGAGTTTCTAATGAATGGCTTTGCTTACTGTTATTTATTCATCTCTGATTCTCTTTTAGACGTGCATGGGTCAACAGTAGTACTCGTGTAATAATCGTATTCAGTTGTGTCCAAGTTTCTAAATGTACATTTTTATAAGAGGAGGTTTGACATCAAAACTACGGTGTACATGACACTAGGCCTGCCGCAATAAACAAGAAATCATTTAATCTCATGATAAATTAAAATTATCAACCTCATTTTCAACCTCATTTTCATTTATCAGCTTTATTGTTTCTTCGTGTCTCTCTTTCTATTGAAGACACTGGATGACAAAAGGCTCAACTACGGTGCTCGTCATTGACCCCCCCCCCCCCAGCACACCCTTTCTCTTTTCTCTTTAAAATCCATTTTAACCATCCAAATTTGCGTTTTTTGATTGTTAAAAGCAACTAAGCTGAGAAGCTAAACTAACAGGATGACCTCGGGGAAAAAACCTCCATCTTGTCAAAGCTCCAAAATTCACGTTTGAAACTCGTGCCTTCGTCTAAAAAGTTGTTTTTCTCTGCAAAGAGAAGCTGAAAACGTGTTTACTGATTTTTTTATTAAAAGCTTTATGTGAAAAATGCTAAAGAGCTCACACCACACCGAGCATCTGCCATTTTGAGAACCGAAGAGAGACAGCCCATGTCACGTCAAGGGGCCTCCCTCTCATTTTTCTTAAATAGACACGCTGCTCGCTCCCTCAATATCCATCCTTCGGTTCAAATAGTCTACTGCGATCCGGTTGTCTAAAAAAAAGGTACTATACACAAAAATAAACAAATATTTCTTCTTAAATTTGACAATATTTACTAATTATTGTCAAATTTCAAACAATATTATTGTACGGGCAGACTGAGCGCAGCTGACCGAAATCAGACTGAACGAAAATAAAAGACCACTGAAGCCCCGGAGCTTGAATGTCCAACATTAAACTAACTTTACCGTGGTTTAATGTGGAGCTATGGCTCTGCAGACATTGCACGTTGCTGTTTTGTGCGTTTCTAGTGTAAAATACTTCCACACACCGGACACGTTTTGATGAAAAGTTTGTTAGCTGTTAGCCACAGTGCTGCTAACTCAGTCCTCATATTGTAGCTGGCTGCAAACTATGACATGGATTTCCTGAATGTGAGGCAGTTCTTATTACTCTGGGTTCATGAGACACGCGTTCAGGAAATCCATTCCATAGTTTGAAGCCAACGTGCAGAGCAGCTGGCAGGGACTCACATGTGGAGACGTTTTACTTGGAGAAAGACATGCATCATGGATCGGAGATCTCAGCAGGTTGTATCGGAAAAATCTGATACATAAATTATGCTGGTATAGGAGACTGATACCGATACTGGATCGGATCGGCCCCATCCCTAACACATATACACACACACACACACACACACACACACACACACACACACACACACACACAC